CGAGAGGATGATTTCTCTGGTATATTTACACTTGTAAAGGAAGATTTTTTTTTTTCCCCCCCTTGTAAATATCACGGCACTTCTGTTGCTTCTGTGCTGGCCCATCTGTGCACCATTTTCACTTGTACTGACTCATGTTCACAGAGTAGTAAGAACTGTCTATAAGTGTTTTAATTTCTTAGTTAGAGTGGGGCCATTTTGCTTTCCTGCTTAGCTTGGAGGCAGATATGTGCTGGGGTTTCTTTTTCCTAATGACATCTCTGGACTCTATTGCACTGGTAAAAATTTTAATCAAGTAATTTTCACTTTTGTGTTCAGATTTTTCAAGACTTCCTGTGTTTCTAGGGTTTGTTCTCTGCAGCCAGATGTGCTTTCTGCCTGTTTTCTGCATGGCCAGAAATCACTGTACCTCTGAAAGCAGGTACAAAACCTTTAGCCTGTCATAAGGTTTCAGCTTCAGATATGCCTGAAGAAGGAATCTTTAGGTTGTTCATGCAGGTTGCATTCAGCCCCCTTGCACTGTGCTGTGCTCTTTATTGTGAGTGATCCTGTACTCATTTTCTCCACTTCTGTCTCACTGTAGAACAGACCTCTGTAGAGACACCTCTGGCTGTTCTCAGGGTAGACAGAAGCGATTTACTGAACTGCTTTTGAACATTTTGACTTGTTTTTGCTGCTCCATGTGCACCCCGGGTTATCTTCACTGCCTACAGGTCAGACCTTGCTCTGTGGCCAGGCTCATTTCAGCAGCTGTTTCTCCTGTGCTCACTGAGATGTCGTGTCTGTGTCCTGCTCAGCTTGACCTGCCCCCAGCTCTCTTCTGGCCTGATACCTCAGAGAGCCTGCAGCCAAAGGGCACGTTGGCAGTGAAAGCTCTACAGGCCCTGCAGCTGCAGAAGTGTCCTTGGTCTCTGCTGGATTCCGTGCGTGTCCTTTCCCTCGTGTGTCTGGCACACTGCGGCACCAAGCTTGCTCAGCACTGAGGGGAGTCAGAGTTAAATGTATATATGTATGGGTGTGTATGTATATACATACTTATACGTGTTTAAGTCTGAGGCTGAAATTGGCCAAATTGTGATTCTTCTCTCCCTCCCTGACAATATGAAGAGATGTGTTTCACAACAGTCAAGTCTGCCAGTATTTCAAAGTGCTGCTTTTAGAAGTATGGAGTTGTGAGAACATTTCAGTAAATTACAAAAGGACCCTTTTAACAGGGGCAAAAAAGAGTCTTTTTCCTTAAATATATTCTTGGGAGAGACACAAGCCATTTCAGCCAAAATGAGAGTTTAGCCTGAGGCTGAATCCAGCTGGAGAAATTTTCAGCCTAAACAATTAATTATAGATGAAGTTATGAGCAACCAAAACTGGAGTTTGTACAACAGTGTAATTACAGCAGTGCTTTAAACTCTGGAACACTGGCACTGGAGTCAGTGCAGGTTCTGGGGTGGCTCTCTCAGGAAGGACTTGCAGAGCTGTCCTTCAAACCAGATAAACTCTGGCTTGCTTTTTTGAGGGAATAGGAGCAAACATTTCACATCAGAAATAATCTGCTGATGAAAGATGAATTAACTGGTGACCTTCAGAGCACTGTCTTGTCTGTATTTGGAGTTTAGCCAGGGTCAGGTTTAACCAGGCTATTATGTTCCTGTTGCACGTGGGAGGTTGTGATGAAGAGGGAGCCTCCTATGACAGGGAACAGCTCAGGCAGAAGGAGCTGGGATGGCAGAGATTAATGGGGCTGCATCCTGCTAGCAATATCTCCATCTGAGCAAGGCTTTCCTGGGAAATTGGAAGGTAACCTCCTGATGGTGGAGGCTGTCTGTTGTGAAAGAAGCTCCTTGCTTAGCAGGGAGAACACATCATGACTGCAAGTGTGCCCTGAATGAGTGATTCCTCATGGAGATGCTCGTGCCACACACAAACACGTTTTAGAAGCTTGCACATGGGGAAATATTCTTGACTCTGGCTGCTAAATTGAGCTGCTTGTGAACCCTTTCAGCAGTAGAGATAGTGCTGACAAATAGTCATCTCTGGTGATGAAAGGAGTGCAGGTGAGAGGAAATTTTGTGGGAGGAGATCCTGCTCTGAATTTCTTGTGGAAACCATAATTATGTGATTCAGTGTAGAAAGGTATGAGGGTTTCCAGTGAAAGCTATGAAAAACACTTAGGGAAGCAGCCTACAGATGAGGCTGCTCATTCAGACCTTATCTATTCATGTGGGAGCGTGGAAACCTTAGCACTCTGCCTTATCTCCTCTCCCCCGGGAGATCAGTGCTGAGAGTCTGACCTCTCCCTTAGCGTTTCAAATCAAACCTGCAGTAATAGTGGCTTTGGTCATGCACTGCCTCAGTCACTTAATGAAATAATCTTTTTCCCTGCCCTTCTGGGCAGAAATATGTCTTGCCCAAATTCCACTTAAGTGGTACCTGGAGGATAGCTGTAACAGAGCAGAGCAGTGGCAGAAACATCCTCCCTTGCTCCCTGCAGGCTTTCCCTGCAGGTGCACAGCTTGGGATGTTTAAGGCAGTGGAAGTTTGACTCTCTCACTGGGACAGTTCCTGTGGTTATGAAGAGGATCCCTGTTTTCTCTTGCTCCTGGGCTTCTGCAGTTCTCTGCAGGTTTAAATTAGCTTTGATTCAATGTTTATTAAAAGCAGTCAGTGCAAGGAGAGCCTCAGATCTGGAATGGATGTTCTCCAAAAACAAGGGCACCTCGGTGCCAGCACAGGGGTATCCATCCAAACAACTCTCAGCCAGAGCTGGCCAGAATCTGTTTTGCTTTCTCACACTTGGAGCTGGTATATTTTAAAGGATATCAAGCAGTAAATGTGGCAAAGGGGAAAAATTGTTACAGACTGTATTTGGCAGAAACCCAGCAAAGATAAAATACCATACGTTCTGTGCAATGAGCTCCTGCATAAATGATTCATTCACCAGAACACAGCTGGGGTCAATGTCTTCTATTTGAATAGCCCAAAGTTATGCAAATATTTTATGTGGATTTTCTAAAAAAGGGGAAAAAAGACAATATATAATGTTCCAATAAAAAAGCTCTTTATCTAAGTAACTTTTAAGAATCCCACAAGAACAGTGTCACCATGTTATACACATATATACAGCAGCAAATGACAAGATATGCCCTAGAGATGCAAACTATGAAAAGATTGCTTGTTTTCCTTTGTTTTGCCAGCCAAGTCTGTGTTACAAATTGTGTGTTTTGGAGATCACACTATTTCAAAATATCAAACTGCTAATTAAAAAAACTACTCAAGGAAACTTTCCAGTAGAACAATATATGCTGTGGGATAATAGTAGTCACTATTTCTTTAATGAGTTTCTTGCCTAACCAGAATTTCTTACGATACATTCAGTGCAACCATTCAGTTAGATTATTATGAATCACATGTGTATTATTTCTGATTTGGTATTAACATAAAAACTTCTGATGAACCGTAGTATTACAAAAACAGGTCTAGTGTATAGAATGGCAATGTCATTCCTGCTGATAAAAGACTGGAAATGACGGTTCTAATGCAGCAATACAATTTAATGCTTTAGTTTCTAGACTTAATTTGCAAAGGTGCTGGGAAACTACAGGTCCAGATGAAGCCATGAAGGTCAGGGTGTCTCTGGATGGTCAGGTGTGTCAATCCACAGCTTAAGCATTGCTCTGCAGTGCAGCATTGCTTTCTGTGGGATCTGAATCAGCAAAAGGTCATGGGAGGGAGAAACCTTTCTTGGTGGTGATCTTGTAACATAGCTGGTTGAGAGAGCAACTTGAGATTTTCTTAAACACTTATATTTTGCTGTGGTAAAGGAATTTAGCAATGCCATCCAAGGAGACAGTGTATACAGGACCTGTGAAGTGATGCAGGTAGATCAAGTCAAGGAAAGAATAGTTTAGTTGTGTAGCAGAGATGAGAGTAGAGAACATAAGATACCTCTTAAATCCCTTCTTCCCCATTCTGTGAGAGTATGGTGGTGAAGATACTCCTTTCAGGTTCTGAATACAAGTTGACATAATGAGGTGATTTTCCAAAAATATTCCAAGAAGGTGTATAGCTTTTTCAGTGGCTTGTTGGTGGTATCTATGTGCCTCATTTGGTATTCTTGAAAATCCTTCCTTCCTTCTGAAAAGCTTCTCTAGTGTCTATTTTATTTTCACTGGTGAACAAGAATGACTCCTTGATCTTGGGTTTTGCATTTGCAAATAGCCATTCTTTGTATTCCCCTCAGATGAAGAGAGCAAACAACAATTTAAAGCAAAGAATGCAAGAGCTTGTGAAGTATAAAAGTGAGCTTTTCCTCCTCATATGTTTGGAGAGGCTACCAGGCATTGGATAAGTAGTTCTTGATGAGTCCTTGGTTTGAATTGTAGCATCTGACCACACAGCCACATTCCACCTGTGGAAGGATTGTTCCCCACCTGCCTCAAAATTCTCTCTTGTAGCCTCTGAATGATTTAGGCTTTTCTTTGTCATCAGATGAAATGATAATGGTCGTGTTTGGATAATGGCTTTGGATGGTTCTTCCACAGCAGGTCCTCATGCTGGTTTCCATGACTTTCACTCACTGGAGCCAGACTTGGCTCTAGTGTTTAACAGGCAAGCCAAAATCTCAGTCCAGTCACTCTGCCCTGAGCACTTCCAAAATGTGGGTTGGATGTAGATTCTCTCTGCTGAGCAAATCATTAGTCAGTGTTTTAAGAAACAAATAAATGTTAATAGTGGGAGTTCTCCAACACAGAAGACAAATCAGGGAAGAAAAATGGAAAGGATCAAAGACCAGTATACCTGTCTGCCCTCACTGGAGCCATCTTTAGGTGGCTTCTCTCCTCTCAGTCTGGAAGGCAAAGTATTGGATCTGAGAGTTGCTGGTGTGGGAAGCTGTTGACATCTGGATGGTGGAAAGTGTAGAGACAAGAAGTTGGTGAAAGGCAGCAAGGGACCACAGAGTCCCTCACCACTGACCATGTTTTCCCTTGTTTTCCTTTGTTTAGTGATGGTTATTCCTGCACCTCCTCAGATGCCCTCTCCTCTCCTGCCTTCCAGAGCATTGCTCTTTGCATCTCAGTGGATTTATTCTCCTCCTTATCTAATTTTAATTAAAGCTCCTATCTCCCCCCACCACATAATCAACTGAAGAAAAATGAGCTGGTAAGTCATTGTTTTTACCACTTTGGCAGCAAACAAATGTTATGTCTGGCATGCTCGGCACCAAGTCAGAAAATGAATCAGCAGCTGTTGTGACAGAAGCTTTTTCCTGAATGGGGAAACAGAGAAAGAAAGAAAACAGGCCAGGGGGAGGTTTGTACAGTGGGCACTGCCAGTCCCCATCACCATGAGGAATGTCTTTGCCCTTCCCTGGGGAAGGTGTCCCTGGAGAGGCCCCTCTCACCCCCAGCATGGACCAGGAGCTGTTTTGTGACTGGGGCTGGATGGGCTCTGATGCCCCTGGCTGTGCCTGGGAGGGGAGCAATGGGATGGGGTGGTTTAGGGAAAGCAAGAGTGACCCAAATCTTTGCAGGCCTTCCTGAAAGCCCCACTCCAGCCAGGCAGGCAGTGTGAGCCCATACAGATGCACTGAACAAGAAACACCTATTTGTCCCTGGATGGCACTATGGCATGGTTTGCTTTGTGCCCATCCATGGGAAAAGGATTAATTATTTCTTTGTGTCTGGATGGACTTGGATCATATTGAATTGTTTTAAGCAGTAACCTTGCATGCATTATATACAGCATGCTGTGAGCTGCAAGGCCTTGGAGGAGAGAGTGGTTTATGGTACCCCTGATCCCCCTCATCCTTTTGTTTTACCTGTTGGTTAACTTGTCATCTTTGTATCTGCTGATTCTTCTACACCAAACATTTGGGGGCACGTGAAAAATGCTTTTGACTAATATTATGGCCTTGTTAATATATTGCAAACTATTTCTACAGGAGCAGCATTAAAGTTTTATCTGCTAAATAAATATTGCCAGGCTAAGCTAATATACAAAGCAGGTCTGGAAAAATTACAACCATGAAGAAGGCACAGAATCCAGCTGAAGAGCTCTGCTGTTCAACGGGATGATGATCAACACTGGAGCTACAGCAGGTTTGTCTGAGGCAGAGAACCAGCTCTGTCTCTCCTGGGAAAAGGCAGCTTTTGCTAGGACACTTTTAGAGGCAATAACAGACAACTGAGCCAGCTGAGCTGGTGACTGCAACCTGCATGGCTTCAGTAAAGTCCAAAGGGACAGTGTGTGGTTGCTAATCAGGGCAGAGGTTGTCCTGGGTTTCTGGAGACAATTGTCACACTATTTATAGCTTCCTTCATGCCAAACAGACAAGCAATATGTTTGTGCTTTCCCTGTCCCTATAAATTCCCTCCTCACCTCTGAAAAATATGCCCACCCTGTCATATGCTCCATGGGTCAGAGCAGGGATTTCTTCTATGACACAGCTGCAGGGACTCTCTCTGCCTCTGGTTTCCTCTTGCTGAGTGTGCAGTGTTGTTTGCAGTGCAGGACAAGGCCATGCCAGAAACCCCTCCTAGTTTTGGTTGGGTTGGTTCAGGGTGGGATGGGTTGTTTTATGTAGTATGACAGAGCACAATGATCATGAGAAGAATAAAGTTGTGGGCCAGGTCTGTCTGACATTTTGTGTATGGACTGACAAGGTTTTTGGTGAAGCTCCAAATTTCCCTTTCAGCTCCCTTTACACCAGTAATTCCGATCCAGTGAAGCACTGGTTTGTCTGAGTCATAAAAAACCTGAAGTCCTGTGAAAACACCGGGCACAAAACACCCACAGCTCCTCCTGGCCACCCAGCCAGAGGAGCAAAATGTGGTACTGAGAGCCTGTCCCACCACAGTCACAGGTGTTTTTATAGAGACCTGTTATGGACTGGTGGAAGCACTGATGTGACAGTCACAGCCTCAGACATACCAGTACTTTGAGTCCTCAATTGCCCAGTTTATGTAGGGAAAGAACTTGAGGAAGACTGCTCTAATAGGCACGGTTACTTTTGCTTTAACTTTGCTTTTGTCTTATGACATGTATGGCTGCTGGATTTCTAATCCACCAGGAGGAACCCATTAGACTTCACTTTCTAGGAACACTGCTTTTTATTATCCTACCATATCATTTATTTTCTCATCCTGATCCTGCAAAACTGTTACAACCAGATGCCGTGGTGCTCTTGTTGCAGCAGCTCAAGGGACTCCAGCCCTGCTGGAGCAGGACAGGACCCAGTGGCAGCCTGACATTGCCCCAGAGGCTTCTTAACTCCTGGATAACTTCATCCTCAGCTGCTGAAGGTAATGGGAGGTGGACCAGTCCTTCAAGTAACTTCACCTAAATAATTCCTGAGTAGGCTTTAAGGTAATTGCAAAGGTGAAAAGGAGGGAAATGTGTACTATTGGTGCTGTGCCTGCAGAGGTGGCGTGGAGACACCTTTTTCAACCTGTATTTAAAATATATTGTGTCTGATGCTGAAGGTGTACATGCAGCTTGCTTTACAGTATTTACTGAAGTCACTCCTGATTTACTCCAGGCTGTGATTATGTGAGGGGAAAATAAAGTTCATGGTTTGTCCTAAGAATCAAAATCAAAGCTAAGGCAGGAAAGGTGCAGTGAGGTTTTGGGACTGACTGTCTGTGAGCCCCAGCTCTCTCCTGACCAGAGGCAGGGTCCATCTCCTCCAAACACATCCCACTGGCTGTGCTGGCAGCCCTGGGCTCTCTCACAGCAGCACCCTGGCCATGGCTCTGCCATTTTTCAGGGATTCAGGATCAGGCTGGGGCTCCTGCACAGCTGCAGTGCCTTGCCCCTATTTTATGTTCACTGAAAGATTTTTGAATGGACTTCAGAAGCCATTAGGAACCCAAATGTCGACTTGCACTTGCAAAATGTCTCTGGTTAATGTTTTCCTACTGACGCTCTGCTTTGCTCCCCGCCTGCCAGAGTTTCCTGTGACCTATTTGAAATATCACTCTCCTAAGTGAAAATGTGCCTCTCTTTTTCAAACTTGCAAAACTCACAAAAATAAATAGCCTAATTTGGCCAGTTAATAGCCCTCTCCTGGGGCTCCTCTCAGCAACTAAGAGGCCTTTTAAATACAACATTTGTGACTGCGTCATTAAAGCTCTGCATGATCCAAGCAGACTAAACCAAAAAGAAAGAATTGCCTTATTTGATCTAAGTTTTCTTTTCTTTTAAATAGTGACACTAGAGACCCATTTATTTTTAATTACACAATTGCTTTATTAAAAGCCTAAATCCTGCAGTCCCTAGTCATTGCTCAGGCAAAACTGTTATCATTGAAGGAAGGACCTGTAGGAGTCAATCCTAAAAATAGGGCAGCTGACAAAGTGCCTTTCAAAATGAGCTTGCTTTATTTTTGAAGTATTTCCCAAGTCAAAGAGAACTTGCCTTTGCTTTGCTTTTCAGCTCTGCAGCAATTTGAAAACTGAATCCAGGAAAACAGTCACTCCAGAAAGCAAAATCACTCCCAGTTTTCCTTTCAGACTGGCTCTGCTGCCCTTTTTACCCTGAAACACCACCCTCTACAGAGCCACAGCAGTATTTACTGACACGAGATATGCATGGGAGTTCACAGAATCATGGAATCTCCTGCATTGGAAGAGACCCACAAGCATCAAGTCCATCTCCTGACCCTGCACAGGACAGCCCCAGAATCACAGAGTGTTCCTGAGAGCATTATTCAAATGCTTCTTGAGCCCTGTCAGGCTTGGTGCTGTGACCATTTCCCTGAGGAACCTGTTCCGGTGCCCAGCTCCCCTCTGGGTTTGGGAAGCCCACTTGGAGTCCTGCAGCACCTCTCTGCAGCCCTGCCTCACCTGTGGGGAGCTAATCCAGCTGCTGGGAGTCTGGCAGAGGGCAGGACTGATCCTGTGCGACACAAATGCATTTCTGTGCTTGGACTCTGAAGGACAGCTCTCCTGGCTGGGTTAAGACTGTGCTGCCAGCAGTAGGAGAGTGAGCAGGCTAGCCAGCCACATATACTGGGTTATGTTTCTGGGCTAAACTCCAGAGCCTTCAATTTTATTATCTAATTACCCAACCAAACTCATTCATCTTTATTTTTCAGTCTTTCCCACAGATCCCAGTTAAAATGCAGCTTTGCTATCTGAAGTGCTGCCCAGGCACTCTCTGCTTGGAAAAATTCATGGTTTCTCAGCTTTATTCACTCAGACTGTGTTTTCTTAGTGTAAAGGATGAATGGCAGAAATCCCAGCCCTGATCAGCAGCAGAGGTCTACATCAGGCTGTGCTGAGAGGAAGGTGGCTGCATTGTCACGGGCAGCTGTACCAGGGGAAGCAAGAGAAAGAAAATAAGCCTCTGCTTAAATGTAGGCTTCATCCCCAGTGTGACATGTCATTAGATTGCACTCAGGGCTTTGTGGCATGGCTCACTGCAATGTCTTCATTGCAAAGTATAAACACCAAGAGTTAGTAAATAAAAGCAACAGGGGGAAAAACTGCTCTCTAGAAATTAATGAAACATCAGGAATACATCCCTGGACAATGGAGTCCAAGGGGGAAAAATACTGGTGTCCCATCCTTTTTCTCTGCAGGACATGAGCCCTCCTCTCCATATGTTACTGTCGTGTAGATGTAATCCGTGTCCCATGCTGGGGCAGAGGCTCCTGCTTAGCATAACCCTGCCCCTGGGAGGGGCTTATCTTGAAAATATACTGTCTTTTCTGTGCTCCTTGCCTTTATTTCCTAAGGGAATGCACATGCTGGCAGGTTCAGGGGGCATTCAGATACGGTAAATGCTACAAAGCAGAAAAGCTTCCCGCAGACCTCACAGTATTTCTGTTTGCTCTCCAGGTGGCAAGGACTGGGCAGGGGGAGAGAGGGGAGAGGTGGCAGATGCTGTGGAGCATGAGGCTGCTGTCTTGCCAGCTTGCTTTGGTCTGAGGGAGGAGACGTGGGAGGGAAGCCCTCATGCAGCTTTTCTCCCTCTGAGACCCCTTGCAGACAGAGTCCTCCTGGTGCTGCTTCCCAGCCCCAGCAGGAAACCCACTGGATTTGGGGGGCTGTGCCTCATGGAGGGCTGGGGCAGAGGCACAGATGCTTTTGTTCAGTCTGCCCTCCTGCCCATCAGCAGCCAGCAGAGCCAGGATGAGCACAGCAGGAACATGCAGGAAATGTTGGTACTGTGCTGTGCCCAGCTGTGCCATGCAAAGAGAGCAGGACCTGCTCAGCAGGGCAGTGAAGCTGAAGAAGTTCCTGTGTTGCAGCCCAGGCAGGTGTGTGATGGGAAGGACAAGTCGAAATTCATGGTGAAGGAAGGAACCTTCTGGAGCAGAGCGTAGCAAGACACCGAGTACACCAAGCGGAAGGGAAAATGGAGATGGGTTTGGTCAGGGGAAGGGAATGAGCATTGTCAGGGAGAGCTACTGCCTGTGGTGATGGAGTGCTGAACCCTCAGAGTGCCTGGTAAAATCCCATCCAGCTCCTAGGGAGTGCTGTGCTCTTGCAGGCTTCACTCATGGACTCCTTCACATGAGGCCACAATTCCACTCATCCTGCACCCCTGGTGGCACCTCTGGTACTTCTCACGTTAGCTCTACCTGCTCGGCTTTCTCCAACCACACACCAGCTGACTTCATCTTCCCAGGTGTTTCTTATGATCTCTCCCATTCTAGCTTTTACCCTTGACCACAAGCAGCACTTGGAACAATTAACACCTTGTGCTCCTACCATCTTATGGTTTACAAGGCAGCTGGTTACTAGGGCAACAACTGCACCTTTTTCTTTCAGTGTATTGACTGAAAATCAACATTTTATATTAAAGGAAAAGAAAAATAATATTCTCTCAAGCCACAGTGAGTTACAACACCATCTCTCCTGTAATCAAGATATTGCTGAATTATGGTGCTATAAACAAACACTTCTGATATAACCACAAACACTGTGGGACATGTAACACATTGGCAGTATATTTCAAGTGACAAACTCATTTATTGTGGGGAGTGGAGGGAGAAAAACACCTTTCCAGGAGCCACAGCAAGGAATTACAGCGAAGAATGACCAGAGCTTAAGGGTACAGGCACAAAGTAATTCTAACACCCTGGCTGGAATAAAGCACTTCGAAGTATGAACAAGATTAGAGCAGCACCAGCAGTACAGGAGGTGAGGATACAGGTGATTGTCCCCTTTCAACTGGCATAAATCATGATTAATTCCATAGCACTTAATAGAATTACCATGCTGTGAGGCTGGTGTGAGGAGGGGCTGGGAGGTGAGCCCACAGCTATCCCATGACCTTTGCAGGCCGGTGTGGAGCTTCCCTGCTTGCAGGTGGCACTCAAGTAACAATCATGAATCATTAAGGTACATAACTATCTGGGAGATCAAAGAGATCAGGAGCTCGTGGTGAAAGTAGCTGGTGCCAGATGCTGTGGAGGCAGAGAACAGGCGGGGAGCTGCTTGCCAGAGATTTCATCTCTTGCTGTGTTCCAGGTGGCTGCTGGGTCACTTTGGTCAGTGGGATTGGAAGAGAGCCATCACCTGCCTCCTGGATGGTCTGCCAGCCCTGGTGTGTGGTGAGTTCCAGCTCAGGAGACTTCTTTGCCCAAACAGGGTGATTTTTGTGTTCTGTTTTACTATGCCACAGTGTGCTGGGCTGTTTTGGTGCTGCCCAAGTTGTTAAATACACGTGGGCTGTCAGCAGTGCCTCTCTGGGCTGTGAGTGGGGGAAGCAGGATGGGCTGGGCAGCTGCTCAGTGTCTCCCCAGTCACATACAAAAGGACATCTGTGCTGTGCAGTGGGAAACAGGGGTATTGTCTCCCTTAGCAAACCTGGCCCCTGGAAAAGATAATGTACATGATCCTCTCTGGATGTGGTGCCTGCATGGATCTGAGCGTGACAGAGCACTTGTGATCAGGAACTGTCAGTGCTCAAAGCTCGTTGAGTGTCTGGTAACTTCTGCATTTATACCAACATGCAGGGTATTAACAGGTTATCCAAAGCTCACCTGGGATTTGCAGGCCTGACTTTGCAGTAAAAAAGTCAGCTAGACTGTGGCATTTGAAGTGACCTAGCTGACAATATAGGTGTCAATATAGCCTCCTGTAAGGCTGGGTTTCCAAATGTGCCTTTACAAGAACGTTGGGGTTCCCTGGCTTTAGTTTTAAGTGAGTTTCAAATTGAGGGGAATAAAGCTTCAAGCAATTCCACTGTAGAATTTGTAAATGAGCATGAAAATGCATTGAATGGGAGCTGCTCAGTGTACAGACTTCTGATGGGTTTGACAGCACAGCTCAAAAGTTCCTTAAATAATAAGTCTGTGATTTCTGGCAGCCTGGAAATGCTGAACTTCTTTGGATTTCAAAGCAAATAGATACATCTTAACAAAGATCACCTCTTGTCAGCTATCCTTAAAATTATAGCAGAGAGATTGAAATAGAATGTGTGTACGTGTCTCTCCTGGGACATGACGGAAGGAAAAAGCATTATCAGAATTCTTTAAACTCATCTTAACAGTATTGAACCAATTATTTTGTTAAATCTGGGTTTGTTTTCTGCCTCTCAATGAGAACATTTGAAGTCTATCATCTCCACCATTTACGAGTTACCAGTCTGCAAGTGTAAAATTTCCAACTGGAACATATGGTATCAGAGGGAACAAGGGGGAAATATCTGATTGCTCATGCTCCCCAAACTCCAAATCTACTCCATTTAGTATTTTGCTCACAGTTCCTGTAGGGGAAAATAAAAGAAATCATCTCTGATCTGAGACCAAGCACCGAACATTTCACCCTGAATAGGAATCTGTTTGAAAAACTTATAAGCAGCTGAAGAGGGAATAGAATAGAAACTACATTTCTGTTTCTTCACAATGGGCAGAACTTATCAATGCTGATAAAACCTCTCTGCACCTTCTTCTCTAAGTTCTGACACCTGTTTTGGGGCCTTGCCTGCAGCCAGCGCATGGGGACAGAGCAAGTATCAGGCCAGAGACCACTTGTTCTCTTCCCTGAGGGTGTCAGTGAGGCTGGGCAGTCCAAGGCTGCCAGCAGAGCTGGGTGTGCAGGCAGTGGGGCTGCTGTGGCCTCTGCACAGGCCTGGAGATGTGCTCTGCCTCTGAGCCCCATGGCACTGGGAGGCTGTGCAGGACACCCTGCTGGCCATGCTGCCTGGATAAATCCTGCTTTGAGTTTGGAACTGGCCTGAGACTCAGCTGCAAGACCTTTGAGATCACCAGGCAGCACCAGCTGGCACTGGGCAGCCACAATGCTCCTGTAATTTGTCAGTTCCTTGCTGGCCTCTGGGTGCCCCACTGGGCTGAGCCGTTCTTGCATGGGCATCCCTTTAGCTGTCACAGAGAGTGGTCATGCAGACCTTCCCTCTGGGCAGGGCAGCAAGCTTCCCCTTCCTTTGCTTTGCTGCAGAGCAGAGGCTGAGCCCTGAGTAACCAGGCTGTGAGGTGTAAGAAACAGGCTTCCCACTCTTCTTCCTGGCAGAAGAAGGAGGTCCTAAGCCTGTAGCCCTGGGAACTGATGTGACCAAATCACAGAAGAGGAGCCTTTCACTTGGCAGCAGGATGGTCGTGTAGTGCCACATGTACAACCAAACGTATCCTCCCTGCCATTCAGACAGAAAGCAGCTTGTTTTGGAGCAGCTTCCCTGGGAGGGGGAGGAACAGATGTTTGAACCAGAAGCGTGTGTGACAGTTGGGAGAGACAGCGTGGAAACGCACAGTTGAAAGGAGAAGTCTGATGGGAGTGTGATGACAGCAGCAGGACTTCAGTGACAAGGAGTGGGAAGGAGAACAAGCAGGGAGGAGTGTTACTTCAAAAGCTGAGCAAAGTGCACAAGAAGATATGTCAGGAAAGCGTCAGAGAAAGGAAGAGAGGAAATGTGAGAGTAGAGACAGGCTTTGGGATCTGTCTGCAAGCCTGTGTGACCTGTTGCCTGACAAACAGAGAAAGGAAGGCCTTTTATTCCTGTGCCTCCTTCCACGAGTTAACTCTTCTTGCCGGCAAGCTGGCTGCCAGCTCTGCTGGAGCTCTTCACATAGTGCTCATGGAAGGTAAAGCTGCCTCTGCTGCTCCAAAGCACCGTGACTGGGGGGTACTGAGGGAAGGTACTCTGTCAGGGATGCCCGAGCCCTTCCTCTGCCTTTATAGGGTGGCACAGTAGCCACAAGCTTTGGGACTTTGGGCACTGCAAGAGTCTGAGGAGAAGAGGTGGCAGTCTTGTAAGAGGCTGCGCCTCTGACTGTGCCGTGATCACAGGGGCAGGATGTGTGAGCAGAGAGAGAGAAGAGTGCAGAGGATTTCTCCTGCAGCAGGGAGGGACCTCTCCAGCAGTGCCTTAGCCTGGTGACATCAATCACAGCTCTGCAGTGTCTGGTTTTACCCTAGTTCAGCAGATGTGCAAGGCAGACCGGGAGCACGCTGCTGGGGTGTGAAGCCTCGGAGCTGGGGGAAGGGGCACAGTAACTTCTCCTCCTGAGGGATTTACTGAGGCAGCTCTGCACAGCCCTTCCTTCACCACTGACTTCCCAGTGTGCCTTGAGAAATGCAAACTGGTCTGGTTCTGCTTTGTGTCCTCTTGTAGAGAGGGGAGAGTTTCCTTAAGTACAGGGTGAGCCTTGGGGTACAATAATGGAGGGATTGCAAGGTAGATGCCGGTCACACGCAGCTGGGCCAGGAGCTGCAGTCTGACAGTGGAGGTTGCACGGCTGGTGGCTTTCACCCTTCATACAAACATTGGCATTCATTTATTGGTGTGAAATCCCAGCAAATTAGAGGCAGACAATATCCCTTATGTGGGTGTGCAACGGGGGGGCTGAACCAGGGTGATGGGGACAGGTCAGGGTGCGCTGTGTCCAGCAGCTCTGGGGCAGAGCAGTCTCACAGCAGGGACCTGTCAGTGCTATGGGCTGTGTGGGGCTGAGGCTCAGCCAGCAGTGTCTTCTTTCATTTACTTTTTTTAAGGATGAAATGGATGGAGAGGGACATGAGGGAAAAACAGTGTCAGGACACTGGCAGCAGTGCGAGGGTGTTGAGCACTGTTGTAGAAGCAGCTTGATGAAGGTGTGAAAGCCTGAAGGATCTGCCCTTCCTCACCAGGAGAAGCAATGCAGGCTCATGGTAAGGAAGGAAGTTTTGGGCACCATAGAATCAGTGCACAGGTGATATTGGGAGTGTAAAGATGATGGCAGCCTCTCTGGTGCCTGCTGTACTGGTTGGCTGGGCTGCAGAACCCTTCTTGGAGCTGGTCAGAGCAGAGCAGCAGTGGACACTTCTCACTGTGTGGCTGTGCTGGCTGTTCTTACTCCAAAGCTGGGGTGTGGGGTCTGGTGCTGAGGGGCACAGGGGACCTGCAGGCTGCCAGGGTGGCCTCAGGCAGGAGGAGCACAGAGGAGCAGGTACCTTGGTGTTTTCACCCAGGACTGATGTGCTTCATAGCAGGATAGGGTTGAGTATCCCCCAAATGCTTGGCTTTATGTAGCAGAATTACACCTTTCTTCTAATTAACTTGCACAGGATCTTGTGCAAGTTAATTGTAAGAGTGAGGGTCAGACCCAAGCTGCATTTTCTAAAGGTACTAGTGAAGGTACTGAAATTAAATTCTCGTGTGTGAAGACCTGTTTTCCCTGCAGTCTAAGCTCCGAACAACAGAGCAGTCTTTGGTCTCTGGAGAAAGTTTAAAAATCTTCCAGGTCTGTGTTCCTTGTAAAAAAAAATTTAGTCAGCACTTGACACATCTGACAGTTGCCAGCCCTTGTTCAATGTGATCAGGGCCCTGTGTACTGAATTAATCAGGGAACTCCATTCTGCCTCATGGCTGGGAAAGGCTTCATCACCAAACCCTGGAGAGGTGCTGGAATGTCTCTGGAGAGCAGGTCACAGGACAGCACAGGGGATTTCTGCCTTTGCCCTCCCAGCCTAGGCTTGCAGAGGAGGTTTCCTTAGGGCAGCAGCCTGACTTCCTCAGGCTTTTGCTGCAGCCACACTCCTGGTGGAGCAGAGCCGTACATCACCCGGCATTTTATGTGTGCCTAGGAAAAGGAGCCTGAATCCCCTTCCTGCACGGAGAGCTGCCAGGCTGGATGCCAACACACAACCCTCAGCGTTTTTTTATTTACTATAAACCTCTTAAATGAAGGCTGGGGGATGTTTTTCATTTACCATGTTACTGTATGGAACCAATCACTATAAATTTAAATGGAGAGCTGGTGGGAGCACACTTACCTTTTATATCATAATTGTGCGAGCGCTGCTGCCTAACTGCTATTAGGATTATTCAGAGCTTCTCAGATTTCATTGTAAAACATTAGGCTGTGAGAGGTACTGTAAGGGTGTGATTATTCAAAGAGGGTAAGTAGTAGTGGGGGTTGTTGGCCAGGATTGCTACAAGAGGGAAGAAATGCTTAGTAGCTGGAAGTAGAGGAACTTGAGGAGCATAACCTGCCATTCAGAAATACAGAGTGCTCTGTGCATGGAGAAATCCCACCTGATTTCTAGCTGGATGTGCACTGGCTTGACCAGTGTGACTTAAATTGTCACCAGGCACAATTCAAACCCTTGGCTGAGCGTAGGTGCCAGCCCTGTGCTCCCCTGAAGAAACCCTAACACAGCAGAGGAGTCCTGCTGGTTGTGCTGCAGAATCCTGCCAGTGTGGCCACGCTGCCTCAGGGCATCATCAGGGCATCAGGAAGTCCCCTGTTCCTCTGGTGGGCTCCAGGGCCTGGCTGTGCTGGCAGAGCTCTCCGCTGGGGCTGGGAGGGTGACCTGTCCCGCTTGCTGCCCCTGCTGTGGGTGAGTCTGCCCCCCTGAGCAATTCCAGGAGCTGGGAGAGAGCAGAGGGTCAGATGGAGATAGCTTGGCTGGAGAGGAGCAGGACCCAGGCTGGGGGACCTCGGGGCGCTGGAGCTGACTGTGACTGGGGAGTCAGTGCTCTGAGCAGAGCCAAGGGAGGACACGGTGCTGGGAGGGGGCTTCCCTGCCCTGCCGTGGGCACTGGGCATCGCCAGCATCGCCTCTGCAGGGACGAGGCACTGCCAGCTTTTCCTAGGAGGCAGGGAGAAGAGAGCAGTTCTGTGTATGCACTCCTCTACTGCCTTGATTCTTCACCTGTGACTGAGATTTTAATTTTGCATCCCATATGATTTTCCTGTTGTAACACACTTGTCTTTGTAACAATGCCTTTTCTTGGCATGGAAAGAAAATCTGAAAAGAAGCCTTTGAGCACTCTGCTGTGTGGGTTTCTCAAGTGATGGCTGTGTTTCTCTCTTCCACCCATTTTCAAATAATTTTCATGCTGGGAATAAGTCTGAGTGCAAAACAGTCATGTTCAGCAAATGATAACCAGACACAATTGTAAGTACACAAGCAGCCACATGGAAAACAAGGGAGCTGATGGAAGGACAGAAAGAACACAAGATAACCCAGACACTACAGTTACCATGTTCACAGTAAGATCAAATAACTCTGCCATTCACGTATAATTATAATTTTTTTTTTTTTTCCTTAGGAAAGTAGGATTCTGGAAAACATTTTTAGTTACTAAATTTTTATCTTCCTAGTTTGTGTAGTGGTGGGAAAAAAACATCTCCCAGCAGCAAACATACTATGGGCCAATTAAAATTAAGCAGCTCAAAGGTGAATTCTGTCCTGAACTTCATATGTGAAATTCTAGTGAATTCAGTGGGGTTTTGTATCTGGAGGTCAGGATTTGGATATTAGTTTATAAATCAAAGAACAGCAGGGGCTGTGAAAGGTCTAAGCTATTTGGATATTCTTAAATGCCACACTAGGCTGCTGCTGCTATCCTGAAAGTGTGTTGTCACTGATGATACTGGGAAGGAAGTTTGGCAGATTTTTTTATTTTTATTTTGCTTTAATATTTTCAATATGTTTGTTTTTCTTTTGTCATTGAAGCTGTTTTTCTTTGAAAAGCATCTTATTTTAGTTGGGGAAAAGCAGACATCTGAGATATTTGGAGGGATTTTATCAAACACTTGTCTTGATATGAGAAGTTGTAGTTAACAAAAAAGTTAATTATAGATATACAACACACTCTCCAATCTCAATAGACAAGGTCTTTTAAACCTAAAATGGGTTAACAAACCTAAAAGAAAATTTGAATTGCACCATTTTTGGGGGGAAGTTAATCTTCCTTTAAAGTGATTCTTAATGTATCTTGTGTACATATGTGTGTCTCTAAAAAGAATGTGCATAAAAGAAACAATTTTAAAAACATTTTCACTGTAAATATATATTTTTATTCATTCACTGTAATGTTCCTACACTCCTAAGCAAAACAGGAATCAAATGTGTTAACAAAACATGATGTCCAATGAATGTAAAGCAAGAAGAATTCAGGAACACTTGGCAGAAATCTACACCCTTTATTATTAAATTTCTCCCCAAAACAATTGTTCCTTCAACATCATCAAGGATCAATGTAAGCACTTGTCGGTAGCAAACTGAGTTAGGTACCTTGTCACAGTTTATGACTTTGCTGTGCTTTTCAGTGATGTAAAGATATTCATGTGAGCCCCAACTGTGCCTTGCAAAACTTCCCTTCCTCTCCTTCATCATCCTGTTCACCTCTTTATCTTCCTGCTGCTCTGCCAAAACACCTGCATGGTCCAGCATCAAGTTTGAGCCTCACGTGCTTCAGTTTTTGCTGCAGCGTCTCAGCTCGGATCCCTTCCCACCGCCGGGCGCTGCTTGGGAAGCACCTGCACTTTTGATCTTTCACAAAGCCTCAGCCCCAGCCCCTGGTACCTCAGGCCTTGCTGGCAGGGTGGCCTGTGCCAGCACAGAGGTCTCTGCAGGGGCACTGCCCAGGATGGGCAGCTGGGGGGTTTGTGGCCGTGTCTATCTCCAGAACCTGAGCTAGTTACTCTAAAATCAGCCTGCCGAGCTGCCATAACAGTGTAGCTGTATACAAGTGCACCACTGAAAATATCCCTGTCTTATTGATAGTTTAATTGGTGGCATTTAGTTGATTGTGTGTGTTCCCTTCTAGTGGAAATAAACCTGGAATTATGCAACTAATTGTTTTTGCAAAAGCAGGGAGTCACTCATGGCTGCTGCAGCAGGAGAGCCTACCTGAGTAAGCCAACAACTTCAGTTGTTGGAACTGCTGTTTGCTGTCTGTTGCTATGGTGAAGTGATGGCACAAAACTGATACCAAAAAGGAAACAATATTATCTGAACAGATTTATAAGAAGAGAAAAAAAAAAGTATAGAGACAGAGAGGTCATGGGGAAGAGTGGGGAAAGCTTAAGGGGCTTTGAGCAGTTTCCTGAGCCAGTTTTTCGCCTTCCTTTTTTAACTGAAGCTCCACTGGATCCTCTGAAGGCAAGACTCATCCTGTGCAGTGTCACTTTTTTTACAACCAATTAAATATTCCCCTAAACTGTAAACACTTATGACTTCAATTCACATTTTTTCCTTTATTTCTCCTGCATCTACATGCATATGGGTAATGTATTCTTTTCCTAGCATTACAGTCAGTTTTGGAGATCTTAAGTCCCAGCAGTGTAGGGCAGGTGATAGATCAAGAAAAGCTGCTTTCCCCTCCCCCTTTGTAGCACCTATGCTGTTCATGTCTTTTCTGAGAATTAGATTTTAACCCTTCCTAAAGGCCTGTTGTGCTAGCAGTGTGTTTCCCCACCTGGCTGGAATCACCCAGTGCTCTCTGTGTTTTCCTACACCCAGACCTTCAGAGGCCAGCTGGAGAAGCTGGACTGTGCAAAGCAGCCCTGCAGCTGATTGCTGGGCAGCCTGACTGGGTGGGGAAGAGACCAAGCACTCAGCTCACAGCTCCTGTGGAGAAAACTCATCTTTCCTTCTCTCTAGCCAAGGATTTTGTACGTCACTCCCTGTCTCACTGTGACACTGGAGACAGGAGCCTGTCTTGATAAGTTGCGAACCATGGCCAGACTCAAAGCTTCATTCAGACATGTGTTGTGAGATAGAGTAGCACCAAGGTTGTGCTTATTGGAGAACATTTTCCTCTTTCATTCATCTGAATGTGAGTGGTTTTGGAGCATCACTTTGTCAGTGTGCTGTGTGCTGCCATGGTCCTGTTTGGAAGTGTGGACAGTGGCAGGATGGCCAGAGGGGAAAGGATGCACACTGGAGTGCAGATACTGCTGGGTGTGGAGTGGGAGCAGGTATTCCTGGCTTTGGGAACAGTTACTTAGTGATCTGAAAGCAACTCTCCTTCCAGCAACAATTCAGGACTGTGAAATAAGTATCCAGTGCAGCTTTCTTGTTCCAGTGCCAGACGTCCTGATTGCTTCGTTTAGTGTCACATCCGTGGTGTCTGAACTACACCTTAGCTGTATCATCACCGACTTCTTTCTAATGTGGGGTCATGCCTCCCTTTATATCCAGCCTTTGCTGGACTGCTGTTGGGTTGTAATTGCATTGGATTCTTAATAGAGTTTCTTGGTCTGCTGTCACAGCGTGATTGCAAGAACTTGTGTTGCATTGAATGTGGTCTTGATTACTTGCCAATTAAAGTGCAAGGGAAACACTTACAATCTTCTCCTTTAAAATTGCATCTCGATTCCACCTTCTCTGAAGGCTATGGGAAACTTGAAGAGGTTGTTTCCAGTTGTCCTGTCTTTCTACTTTTGGTTTTTGGCTTAGTGGGGTAGGTAGATAAATGTATAAATGTGCTTTTATTTTATTTAATTTATTTATTTATTTGCATTTATTAAATGCCCCCCCCCTTTTTTTTTTCTTTTTTGTGTAGTTCTGTGCGTGTGAAGCAGAAGCAGAAAGACCCCTCTGAAGCTGAGTGTTGTTGCTCATTGCTCCCATTCCAGGTCGCTTAGGGTTTACAAGGTTTGGGATAGTGCATCTTTAAAAAGAAAATACATGAAAGCAGATGGCCCTGTGGTAGCTGAGCATGGAAGGAGACGCCTGAAGAAAGAGTGTTGTGGCAGGAGGGATGTGTTAGATGAGGGAGCAGAGACGAGCCAGGAATGTAAGGAGGCAGCATGCAGGGGCACACCATTTCCAGGAGGCTGGAAGCGTAGGAGGTGCTGTACTGCGGTGGCAAATCTCGTGGAGCAGGTGTGCAGGGGCAAATTGCCTGCCTGCCACCCCCTGGGCATCCTGGCAGCATGTGCTGGGAAAGAGCCAGGGCCAAGGTGTGAAGAGAGGCAAAAACAGGGAGAGGAGAAAGAAAAGGAAGGAAAAAGCCCCAAGAGGAATGTGGACAATGTGACAAGACACAGGGGAAGCCACCTGTGAAGGTAACCGTGAGTTTCTGTTTATCTTGCCTGTGGTTATACTGCAAGGAGGTTTTGAACTGCTGCCTAGTATGACTGTCAATTATTTTAACTTGTATTTCTCACCTCAGTCCCCATGAAGTGCATTTGACAATAATTAATTTTGCGTGTGCAACTGAGAGTGTATCCTACTCCTGCAGAGGTGTCAGCTTAATGGGATATGGCTACAGGGGATAACAGCCTGTGCCACTCCATTAGGGAATTTGGGGGGTCACCTGGTCATTTATACTAATATTTTAATTGTTGGAACATAAGGTTTCTCATAGTTGAATTGGGAACAGATTAACCTCTGTCTCTCTGAACTTGCATGCTGCCAAGCTCCTTAAACACCATTGCTAATTTTATTTTCTACTTTCAGCGTGTATTTAAGATAATTCTTTTTGTTTCATAGGTTAAAGAGGAAATATTCTAACTGGCTGAGATCCCAGTGAGCAATTACAAATATTTTATTATAGTTAGAGGACTTGGAATTCAGCCTCAGACTGTGGGCATCAGAAAATCCATGTGTGGAAATCCCAAGTGTTGTAAGCCTAGGAGGGTTTTGTATGGAGGGATTCCTTCTCATTTCACTGAAGTGAAACTCTTGATTTAAAAATAAAATAAAAAACTTGGACTTGTAAATGAAACCTCTTCAATCAGCGTTTGACTGTACCAGTTAGAGAAGGGTTAATTGAGCCTCTTCATCTCCATTGCACGTTAGCACAGAAGGTCAGTGGTGGGAGAAGCCAGGTCCACACTGAAGGCTTTTGAAATAGCCCCCTAACTAGCCTAATGAATATGCTGGTGAGATAAACAGGTCATTTAACACTTTTCATGTCGCTATTGTCCATCCAACCTTAAATGTCAACTCTGTCACTCTGATAGGCTGGTTCTGCTTAAAAAGGTTTCTTGGCTTTGTTCGATTCCTAGGAGGGATTTTCCCCCATCCTTACTCCTAATTGCTGGCAGAACCCCACGGATGTATTTATATCAGCCTTTTCATTCGGGTCAAGTCTCCACTAGAGGATTTTGGCCGAGTGTTGAAGAGATGCAATGAAGATAGAAGTGGAAGCCCAAGTGCAGTTACAATTATCCTGCTGGAGCTGCAGCTCAGTGACCACAACGGAACGACTGGCTGAGGGCAGGATGGTTTGATAGCTCTGCTGATGTGGATTGCTGTGGCCAGGCCAGGACAGTCTCACAGGGCTGCTGAGAGGGAGCTCAGCTGTCTGTGACCATCCCAGTGGGGCTAGTGGAGGGTGCCCTGTGCTGGCCCCTGCCTTGTGCCTTGTGCTAAACCCTGGTGACAGAGGGGATGTCCCTGACGTGGTGTGTCTGCCAGGGCTGTGAGCACATCTTTGGTGTGCTGATGTTGGATGTCCAGGTTGCTTGAAGCAACATCTAATGGGAACCAAGCTGCAGGCCTGAGAGAGCTGAATATTTTTCACAAATGTTTTCTGGAACTTCCTCACCCTGCGAACAGCAAGTGTGTTTCTTCTTGGGATGCTTCTATTTTTTTCTGTGACCCATGGCATTCTGTGGCCTAGAAGGCCTCAGAAAATTACTTTTTATCTCAGAAGGACTGCATCAGCTTTCCTGTGAGATTTCTTGAAGGCTCCTCTACTCCTTGCCTTGAATAAGCTCCCCAGTGCTATGGTCAGGAGCACAACAGCATAGGTGCTTCTGATTTAACACCAGAATCAAGGGCTCAACATATTCCAAAGGTGGGCAAAGAGCAAATGGACTGATGCTGTATTGGTATCCAATACCTCATTGCAGCTATTTGCCCCTGCAAACTTTCTTGGCTTTCTGATACCTGTATCAGCTGATATATAAAAAAAGGTGGAAATTCAGGTATCAGCACTGAAAAATGAAGGCTGATGGGCTGAAATAGCACATATCTAAGCATGTATGCTGCAGACCAGAGGAGCTTATGTGGCTATTCCCAGAAATGCTGACAAATCTGTGCCCAAGAAGTCCCTCAGTAAGGGAACTGCTTTGACAATGCGCTGTGTATTTGAGCCGCTCCTCCAAAATAGGAACCAGGCAAATTTTATTCCTCCTGGAAATTATGGTGTATGTTTGGGAAGCTTTTCAGCACAATAGCTCATTTTGGAGATATCACTGTATTGAAGGCCCAAATAATTTTTCTGTGACTGGTGTATTTCCAATTCACTGAGATGCCTTACAATTTCAATGTGTGAAGTCACACCAGCTTCTTCCTAGCTACTAGTAGTTGATGCTGCCCATGGGGAAGATGTCCTACACAGCAAGCACAACATGCTCTGACCAATATTGGACAAGCCCAGTAAAGACATCACATCAACTCTTCCAGGTGCCAGGTGTGGCACAGTGCAATTAGCAAAAGCTCGAGCACAGGTTAACGTCAGGCTAACTTTCCACATCGAGACAATCTGGATTCATACTGGGAAGCTTGTTAAAGGTCTTGGGGATTAATCTTTAACAGGGTTGCTGTCCTCCATGATCCTTCCCCGGCATTCATGGGCTCCCCGATGGGAATGAGAGGGTGGAAGAACCTTGTGAGAATGGCTGGATGAGCTGTGGAGCTGATCAGCGATCAGTGTTCCACAAAGCACTTACAGCTCTGGTCCTTTTCAGCACTTGTATTTCTGAGTAGCTTAAGTACACGGTGGGCCTTAATTTGCTGCCCTCTGGCACAACAGAAGATGGAAGGAGCTGTCACAAGGCCAATCCCACCAAGCTGTCACTGATGTTCAGATGAGATGTGGCTGTTGACTGAGTAATATGTGAACTTGCTCTAGACTTCAGGCAATTACATGGAGCAGAAGAAGGCAATTTCATTTGTGGATGACTTTACTGAATTTAAAGTATGTTTATGTAGTCTGGTGATTTGTTGGAGGGGTCCTCAGTGGCTCCAGATTTTTTCACAGCTGTCTCCCTGTTCCATCATCTCCAGTGGAAGAGAAGGTACTGCTTCATCTTGGCAGGTAACAGCATGGACTCAGCTGCTTGTATCTCTGCTGTTTCGTGGACAGCACCAACATGGTGTACGTGGGCCAGAAGCCTTCAGTGTTTGGTGACTCTGCCTGGGACAGGTCCTTGCCATCCATCTTCTAGAAATACTACAAGTATTGGGAGCTGTCTGCTAGCTATGGGACCTTGGCCAACATTTTAGGCCTCAGTCCTTATATTCAAGGTACTGACTGACCTGGGTCCCTGCGGTGGGATGTAGGGTATGGCTGACAGTTGCTTAAAAATGTAGTATGTGTTTGCAAAATAATCCTGCCTGGTGGGGATCAGGTCAGGACTTTCTGAAGGGAAGGAACAGAATTATGTATTGAGCTCTCCTATATCAGTGCAAACATTGCTGCCTGCTGTGCCAAAAGCCAGGCATCCTAAAGTTTCTTTAAGTTGTGTTTTTTTTCTTATGCTTCCTATAGTTAAATTCATGGTAATACGTAATGTTAAAAAAACCCAAACACCAAAACAACCCCCAAACTCCCTAAAATTTACCAAACCCCCACTTGGGAGTGTCTCTGCTGCTGGCTGTATCCTTCTGCACACTCCTTTCTTTGCCTTGGCTCTGGTAGTCACCTCACTCCTTGGTACACTGGTTCAGTCCACTAATCCAGAAGAAAGCTAACCCAGCATAAAAGGAGGTAGAATTTTAGGCTTTGTTTCCTCTTTACTGGGTTAGTGAGCTGCCTTGTCTCCAAAAGGGGTCAGGAGAGGAGAGGTGAGCTGCATGAGGAAGGGGAACTGCCAGAGGTTGCAGTAAAGGGTTAGATTTGCTCAGCCAATTTGTGTGTGGTTTTCTGGGTGCACAGCAGGAGAGGGCCCTGACACAGGGCCAGGTGCAGTGTGGGGAGCTCAGGGCACCACAGGAGAATTGCAGCAGTGGTAGTTCTGGGGGTGAGTAGAAGCTTTCCCTCTGGGGGTTATGCTCACCCATTTGCTACTCAGCCCTCCTCTGCTTTCAAAAGCATGCTGCAAGTGCTAGGATAAAACCTCCAACCCAGCTGTGTCTCAGCTACCAAAATATCTCCTTTGCCCCTTGGCCAGCTGTCAAAACTTTCCTGGCCTTCCTAGAACAAGTGTCTTAGGGGATGTTTCCTTTGGCTGATGAGAACTCAGGGGGATGATCTGGAGATGACTGTGGGATAGCATGTTCACTGCCAGGTGTCTATCCTAAGCCAGCTCCATCCCCTGAACTGCCTGGCCATCCCCTTAGTAATGCTCTCTGCTTGTCACTCTGGAGGGTGACATTGTGGTTTGAGGAAGAAAGTGCTCCAGAATAAAAAATTGTGCAACTCAAGAGCCAAGAAAAAAAAAAAGCCTTAATTATTCAACTAGTTTGGAACACTTGAAAGTATCCCTAAAAATAGGTGAAACGGATGTTTGTCAGCTACAAAGAGATTTTCCTGCAGTAGTATTGCTTGTCTTATTTTATGATGATGCTACAGAATACAGTCCCTCAGGTAACCTCATTAATGTTTATGAACTAACCCCTTGTTTTATACTTTTGGTTTGAGAAGGCAGAAATAGGGCAAGAGGCTAGTAAGACCGATTTTATCATATGTGCTTTGAAAAGCCCAAGGACATGGCTGTAAGGTCTCTATAAGCATATAATGTACATGGGCCAACAGTTGGATTGGGTGCTTGCTAGAGATTTACCCTAAGGGAGAAATCCAGGCAGGACTTTGGCTGAAACCCTGCGTGGAATTCTGCGTGCCTCCCAGTGGATCTGTCAGCAGGAGGCTGGCACTCTCGTGTGTCTCATCAGTGGTGTTGTTTTGATCTCTTCCGGCAAAGGCAACCTGTGACCATATGTTGTTATAGCCACAAGCGCTTCCACAGGGCGGTATCTGGTGAAGCCGGCTGCCTGACAGCGCCTCAGCCCAGGGTGGAGGCTGCTTTTCACTATCTGTTCCTTAAAGAGGGCAACTGTTTCTTCTGGCTATCATAACAGGGCGGCAGTTACCAACAGCCCGTAACAGTATGGGGTGGTTTCTGAGTCTTACCGCCCCATCCTTAAAAATAACAGCTCTTTTTTCCGAGCCAACCACCAATTGTGGTCAGCCACGAATACCAGTTTAACCATTTGGCAGCCGCCCTGTAGGAAACAGCTCTTTGCAGAGAGCCAGAGGAGCCCTAGAGTCACACTGGGCTGGTTTCAGTCAGCAGCGCGCACTTAACAGATTTCCCTGTATGCAGCCAGCCTCTTTAATAACAAGCAAATCCTGGAAAGTTAATACCAAACAAACTGTAAAAGTGTGTAAGAACTAGTAATTCAAATGGATTCTTGATTTGATGAACGAGTGGGTAAAGTTCTGCTCCTCCCCACACAAACTCGCAGTTTCTTGCTCTGTAGTTCCTTCTCCACCCGTTGTGTGTTGGGACTGTCAGCAGAGTTTATTTTGGGCTCGGTTCCACTACGCGCAGTAGTAGCCGGCTTCGCAAACAGTGCACTGCAACCGGAACCGCCCCTTACGGCTTTAGGGCAGCAAGCAGCAATAACGGGCTGCTGTCGGCCGGGGGGTCCCGCCCGCCCCCGGGAGCGCTGCCGGGGCTGCCCCTGGTCCCGCGGCGCTGTCGGTGGGGCTGGCGCAGCCGGACCCCGCGGTGCCCGCCCGGTGTCCCCGCTCGGTGCCGGGGTTCCCCGGGGGTCTCGCTCCGCCGCACGTGGCGGGGGCTCCGCGGGGCGCGCGCTCGCCGCGCTGCCCGGTCCCCCCGGCGGGCGCTCTTTTTGAATGAATGACCTCACCCGCGCCGGCCAACCGCCGCGCGGCCGCGCTTAATATTCATGAGGCGCCGCGCCAATGAGCGGGCGAGGAGGTTGTTTTAAACGGCAGAGCCCCGCAGCCAATCAGGCCGCTCTCGTAGGCAGCCAACGCGAGGCTGAGCCGCGCCGAGCCCCGCGTCGTGCCCTGCGCTCCGCTCCTGTCCACACTACCGCGAACAATACAGGTACGTGCAGCCCCGCCGCAACTTTTCGGGGGGCGGCTGCCCCCTCCCCGCCCTGCCCCCGCGCCTTCATCCCTCTGTCCTGCCTGCCCCAGCATGCTTTGTTTTTTTCTCCTTTTTTTTTTTTTTTAATGTTGCGTTCTATTTCTTCCTTCCTCCGAGTTTTTGATTTTTTTTTTTTTTAATTAGAAAAAAATCGGGAAATTCACCCAAAACTTTCTTTCGCCCCTCTGGCGGGGATCGGCGGTGCCGGGGCAGATGCTGCGCGCAGCTGGCGGGGCGGTGGGCAGCGGGCGAGGCGCAGCGTTTGTCCCCCGCCGTGCTGCCCTGCCCCGCCGGGAGCTCCCCCCGCCGCCGAGGGGCCACCTGCCCCCGGTGCAGCCCCGGAGCTCCGCGCCGGGCTCCCGTGCCGCCGAGAGTAATATGGCTGGTGCAGCAACTACACCGGGACTAACTCCTCTTCTCCCCCGCATGGGCAGGGATTTTTCTCTGCCGCCTCCTAATGTCGCACGGCAAAACGCGCGGCGCCCTCGGCTTTTATGTGCCCCTTTCCCAGGGTGGGCTCGGTGGGGCTGGTGGCGGTGGGAAAGTTGTCGGCCGTGCGCAGTGCCGTGCCCGCTGTTTATTCTGCATTAATATGGCTGTCGCTTTAGCATCTGACAGGGATAAACCCTGCGCGCTGCGCCCGGCGGTCCCGGCCAAGCAGTTTTTTTCTCGCCGCCGCCACCTCCAAACTCCCCCGATCCCTTCGCTTCTGCCTCCGCCGCTCTTCCCCTGCCCGAGAAGGTGTCTCTGGTGGGGCTGCGCCCTCGGCGGGGCCCCGCATCGCCTTTTCCCCGCGCCGCGCCGCCCGTGCTGTGGGCATTAATATGGCTGGCGCTGGAGAGCCCCGGCGAAGGGAAGAAAGACGTGTGAGCGGCACAGGGATGGGGAGGGGGGTCGCGGCGAGGAAAATCTCCTTCCTGGTGCCCCGCCGGGGGCTCAAACCTTTCGCTTTCGCCCCGGCTCCTCTCCCCCCACCTTCCCGTGTCCTCGGACGGGCGCTGGGGGGCCGCCCCGGGGCTCCCCGCACTCTTTTTCTGGCAGCGCGGAGGAGCGTAGCGGCGGCGGTAATGGCTGCACGGGAGCCTTTGTTAGAGAGCGCTGCGCTAGGCAGGGGCCGGGGGGGGGGCTCCCGCCCGCGCCCCGGCCCCGACGCCCCCGCCGCCCGCCGGGGGGGAGCGGGGCCGGGCCGGCCGCCGCGGGCCGCTCGCCCCCAACTTCGGAGCGCCCCGGCTCCGCGTCCCGGCCCCGGTACCGCGCGTTCTCCGCCCCCGCGGGGGCAGCGCTGTCCCGGCAGCGGCCGGAGCGGGCAGGGCGGCTCACGGGCACTTCTGCTGCACCTGGCGGGTTAATGGGTGCAATTAAATATTAACGCTGTGCTAATAAAAATTAAATTTTCAAGGGACTTGGAAGCTGTAAATAGAAAATACTGTTGCGGGCTTATGGTATTTTTTATTAAGCGGGGAAAATTTAATACGGAAGCAGGAAAAGAAATGGAGCCCAAAAGTTAGCACCGTCGTTTCGGTAACTTGCTGACTGCATCTTTGCACTGACCACTGTGCCTCAAACGTGTGTCACTTGGTGGAGCAAGAGCGAGCACAACTCACCTCGCAGAGCTCCACGGGTCCTATTGTGGTTAAAGTCAGCCTGTATTTCTGCTCTTTTTATATATAAAAGGTTGCTGCACTTTTTCGGGGCAACTAATTTGTCCTGCCTGCTTACCTGGGCAGCAGCTGCTAAGACATGCACTCCAGCTCCTGAAGGGCTAAGTCACTGCCTGGCACTGTGCATGCCACTCCAGCCCCAGTGTGGTAGCCAACTAAAACAGATACTTTATATTAGTTCATATATAATGCTTAATAGGCAGAAGTATGTATATTTAATAGTCTGTCTCCAGTCTTTGGACATGATGTAAATATATGTTAATGTAACACTTAAATCCAGTGGCTGGTTTCTCTTGGCTTGTCTGCAACCCAAGTATCAAGGGAGAATAATTTAAGTCTCTGTATTGTGGATGGTAAGATATGTTAGGGGAAAGAAAGGGGTGTGTTTCTGATGGGACATCATTCCAGAAGATGATGAGGGGGTGTGTGTGTGTATAAATATATGCACACCATATGTGTATGCATACATCGGTGTGTGCATTCATCTAAATATCATTTATTTGTTATTTTTTCCTCTGTCCCTACAGAGTCAAGATGGCTAAAGGTGATCCGAAGAAGCCCAAGGGCAAGATGTCTGCCTATGCCTTCTTTGTGCAGACGTGCCGTGAGGAACATAAGAAAAAGAACCCAGAGGTTCCAGTCAACTTTGCAGAGTTTTCCAAGAAGTGCTCAGAGAGGTGGAAGGTACTTTGATTTGTGACTTCCTGAAGGGATAACTTCTTACAGTATCTGCTAGGATGATGTGTGTGTGTCTGAACATGAAGGGAGCCGGTGCTGTTTTGGTCTGTGTGCTGTTCTTGGCAAGCTGACCTGGCCATTGGTCAGTGCTGCTGGAGCCTGTAGCAATTTAAACCAAACATTTTAGCCTTATGTATCTGTGTTAGATGCTTCTGCTAGAGTCATTCCCAAGCAATACCCTTCAGCAGCTACTTCCTTCCAAGTGTGTGTCCAGAGGAGGACTCTGACTGTGCTTGTCTCGTTCCTGTTGTTCCCTTGTTGCTGAGAGTGTCTGTGGTGGCTGTGATTTCCCGTACAGCGCAGCCCAGTTAAAAAAACAAACAAATTCTGAAACTCCCGTATTGAGTTGATATATGTTGGCTTGTTTACATAAAGCTTGCCAGCTATTGAACAGTTGGGTAATCACAAGTTTGGTGTCTCATGTTTTGGTTTTTTAGACCATGTCAAGCAAGGAAAAGGCTAAATTTGATGAAATGGCAAAGGCTGATAAGGTACGATATGATAGAGAAATGAAGGACTATGGACCAGCTAAGGGTGGCAAGAAGAAGAAGGACCCCAATGCCCCTAAACGACCACCGTAAGTAACTTTGAGACATTAAATGCATAAGTGTTTTGGTTCATTTTCACACCCTGTGTGTAACATGGATTTCCAGGAAGGAGGTAGATGGGGGACACAGTGTTGGTATAGCAGGACTGGTAGCGATACTGTCTTGTAAACCTTCTAGGCAGCTTGTGCTCTTGCGCATGTAGGGCACTGACACAAACTGTCAGTACTTGGTACTCTTAGTGGTAGGAGTGTCTCATAGGAAGACACTCCATGTGTCTCATGGGAAGACACAAGTGGCTGAGTCACAGTGAGACTTGTGTATCTAAGATGAAATTGGGTGAGGGGATACAAAATGCTTAGTTAATAAAGAGCATTGAGTGAAGGAGGCTGCAGGTCTGCGCCTCAGTAAAATCAAAACACGTGTAAGCTTGTGTTTGATTTTGTAAGTTAAAGAAAAGTTTCTTCTCTGTGTGCTCATGCATGTGGCAGTGTTGTGGGGGAGGGATGGAGGAAGGGGTGCTCCCTGGGTGTGCTGCTGCAAACGCTGACTGTCCTCTGGTGTTTCTTCCCAAGGTCTGGCTTCTTCCTCTTCTGTTCAGAGTTTCGCCCCAAGATCAAGTCCACAAACCCTGGCATATCTATTGGGGATGTAGCGAAGAAACTGGGCGAAATGTGGAACAACCTCAGTGATGGTGAAAAGCAGCCTTACAATAATAAGGCAGCCAAACTGAAGGAGAAGTACGAGAAGGTAAGGAGAGTTGTCGCTTGTGCCTCCTCTGTACCAGCTCTTTTGTTGATGTGCTTTTGTAGCATAGGCCCAGCTCAGTTGGCCCCAGCATAGTTACAGCTGAATTTTGCACAGGTTGGGGCAGAGCAGGATAGAGATCCACAGGCAGATTTCAGCAAGGAGAGAGAGCTTTCCCCAGTGATGTGCAGCAGGGGCTGCTCGTGTTGCTTCAGAAAGGGTCTGCTGTGCTGTTACTGGAGCTTTGTCCCATTATCAGGAAACTTTGAGAGGCTGGCTTCTCTTCTCCTCCTCAGAGAAATAGCCATGGTGCAGGGTTCCAGACCTCCGTGACTGATGAGCATGCTGAGGTGTCTGCAAAGCTGTGTACTCCCTTGCTGGCCGTGTCCCCTTGGGGGTGCAGCTGGGGAAGGCCAGTCCCTTTACCTTAGCACCTGCTGCTGTACAAATGCTGTGTGTGTTTGCTGCTTAGAGCAAATTAAGACATCCCCTTGACTTTGCAGGATGTTGCAGACTACAAGTCTAAAGGAAAGTTTGATGGCGCAAAGGGAGCAGCAACCAAAGCTGCTCGGAAAAAGGTAGAGGAAGAAGACGAAGAGGAGGAGGAGGATGAAGAAGAGGAGGATGAAGATGATGATGATGAATAAAACTGTACAATACTTGTCTCCATGTGAATACCATAGAGTAGGGGAAACACCATAAATGAAGCACCTCTTATTTGAGATGGTGTCTCTTGCCCTTATTAGGCTTAATTAAAAAAAAAAATTGGATTCCGATCGCGTTGTAGTTTCTAAAAGTGCTCTAGAAATTGTAACTGGTTTACATGAAGTGGCCATGGGTGTAGTGAGCACCCTGAAACTGTATCAAAGTTGTACATATTTCCAAACATTTTTAAAATGAAAAGGCGCTCTAGTGTTCTCCTAACTCTGTGCACTTTGCTGTTGGTGTAACAAAGCATTTAAAAATGTTTCAAGCATTTTTTTAATTTGTAAGGTGGTGTTACTATATGGTTATTGGCTAGAAAATCCTGGGTTATAAACTGTACATATCTATAGTTTGTAAAAACTAGACAGATTCTTGTGGTACATGCTTAGAGTGATGATGCCTTAGAGGAGCAGTGATTACTTGGAAAGGCTGTACGTTCCCCGGGGTGCCATGGCCCAAAGCATGCACTGTGAGGGTAGATCTATTTACACTACAGTGGGCGTCCATTTAGCTTAAAGTTGTCTTTCTGTATATAGTGAAATAGCATTCTGCTGCCATTCTTAGTTGTGGAAGGGGGTTCAGCTGGCATGAGAAGTGTATGGGTTTTTTTAGTTAAGTGCGGTAGTTTTTAAACTGAAACTGTAGACATCTCTTCATCGTCAACTAAGTGAAGAGCCAGTGCAGCAACTGAAGTTCAAAAACACTCTGTACTTAAACAAATTTGCAACGTTCTGTTTTTTTTTGTATGTTTAGAATGCTGAAATGTTTTTGAAGCAAAATAAACAGTATTACATTTTTAAAACTGTTCTTGACAACACTCTAAATTTCTGGTTTAAGAGTATCTTAACAACAGCAAGAGGTTCATTTTGAAGTCTGTGGCATCCCTCAGGGCTGGTGACTTAGGAAACATTCTGACTCAAGGATTTAAAAAAAAAAAAAAAAATTTAAAAAATGGTGGCCAGCCAAAACTGGCTGAATTGAAAGAGATGGCTGCTCCAGCTAATATGCAATCGTAACTGTTTATGGCTGAGTGGCACAAGATGCTATGCAAGTTTGAACTTTATTACTTGAACTTGGGAGCCTAAATGAACATTCATGACGTAATTGTTTGTTTGTGTGTGTATATAGCAGCATTCAGAGATGCAGAGAAAGGTAGGTGGCTAGGAATGAGGCTGACACCATGGAATAAGTATAAAAGCATAGTTTGGATTTTTTTTCCAGTTGTGTTGGGTAAATTTATAGCCCAAATGCATTGCTGTACATATTAAAATGTGCCTTTTTTGTCCTGTGTTAAACTGTTTCAGACTTGTGGTTTTTTCTAGCCTCTTGTTTCGTGGCAGGAGCCAGGCGCCTACGTCTAACTCCCTGCTGCAGGAGGAGCGTGGCGCAGGTACTTGGTCTGGGTCCTTTCTCGAGTGACACAAGGTTCAGGTGGAACTGGGGGCTGTGAGGGGGGCTGGGGGAGTGACAGGTCTCTTTCCCCTCTGGTCACCAGCTGGCTGTGCCAAAGTCTTGCCTTTTTTCCAAATCCGGGCTGGGGGTGTTTTGTGGCACTTGAAAGGTAACTCCTGGTCTCTAACTGGTGACTGTCACTTTGGTTTTCCTTATCATGGGAACAGCACGAGTTGGGAAAACTACAGCACCCCACAGAACCCCTGAATTCCTACCCTGTGCTGGCTCTAGCAGTCGGTGCTTGCCTGGTGGAGAGTAGATGGGGGTGTGAGGGCACTTGCATTGCCAGCAAGGCAAAGCTGTGGGCTGTTGTGAGCAGCTGGTTTCAGAAGATGCAGTAACTCACAGGTGCACACACTGGGCATGGGCTGCTGCCACCTCTGCTTTTGAGCCAAGTTTGACATTAATGGGGTCCAGGCTTACAGGCAGTAACATTAGAATGTGGTTAAAACTACTCAGTTGCCTAATTGGGTAGTACTTCTGGCTTCCTCGGTCTTCTCAACAGCATGACAACTTCTCACCAATAACAGCTTGGCAAAACAGTCTGGTCTAGTGCTGAGATGGACTAAAACCTGAAAGCAAAATTTTCAGAATGGAGCGCGCTAAAAAACTTTCATGAAACATAGCAACAGGTAGCAACTTTTGTTTTTAAGGCTAAGTGACAGTTGAATCACTCAGAAATACTTTTATAGTTGCTTAATTATGGTAATTTTTAGTATCTTTAATGCACAAAATGGTATTTGCCCCTATTTTATGGGCAGTTGCATTTTAAAAGTCTCAATAAAGCTGCATCTGGAAAAGAAATAGGTACTTCTGTATTTGCTACCCTTTCTGCATGTCTTCTGATACAAGGGAGTAGGCAGCTGGAGATCCCAGGCTGTGGAAATTTGATGGGGAAGTTGTAGAGCAGAAAAAAAAAAGTGATGGCATCAGTTCAGGAGCTCTAATGCTGTTTCTATTGTCTAGTTGGCAAAATCTCCTCTTAGCCACATATGGGACTCGGTGTAGATCACTGTTGTGCAAATCGAGCTTGGCTTTGAATTAACTGCTAGTGAGCTGAGCCCCTATTGATAGTATCAGCAAACGAGGGCTAGAGCTGACACCTCTTTGTCTTCATTGTTATTGGAAATCCATTGAAGTTGCAGAGCTTGATCAAGGTCTCATACCTTACAGTGCACTACCTACTGCTGCACACCTAAAATACAGCATTCCTGGGGGATGCTGTTCAATGCAGCCCTGGTGCAGGATTCCAGGGACTCACATTTGGGTATTGCAGATCTAGTGGTGATGTTTCTTCCCTGAATACTCTGCTGTTGATGAATGCCACAGTGTGAATGCATATAAATAACACATAATTTCCCCCCCACTGTTTTGTGTTCTGACATGTCATCTCAAATATTGGGAACTGCTTAATTTCACCCAGCTCCATTATTTTCATAGAACACCCTCTAAATGCTCTTTTTTTTTTTCTCTCTGCTTTGAAATGCTTGTTGCTCGTGGTGTTTCAGAGAAGACATTTTGCTTTGTGTTGATGCACAACTCAAACTTCTAGTTCAACTTTAGTCCCAAGCAAGGCAAAGTAAATATGTCTCTTATTAACTCCATGATATGTAGAGAAGGATGAGGATAAAATAGATTGGGCAAAGGGAGGGGATGGATGAAGAGACTTTTCCTTGCATGAATTTGACACAGCTGACTGTGAGACTGCTGATGTTTCCAAAATGTGATGCGCTGATGCCCTTCTCCCTGCTGAAGTTGGGCTGAGGGACCAGGGCTCAGCTGAGGAAAAGGATGGTGCTGTTTCTGCAGCTGTTAAAACCCATTTAGTGCTGGGGGAGGCAGAGGAAGGCTTGGCTGTGTGGGATGGTCCCTCTGGATGCCTGAACAGGTGTCAGAGGTCTGAGAACTTTTGCTCAAGAGAAAGAATCTGATGGTGATGTGGGGCAGAGACAGCGCTGAGCCGTGTCATGCAGGCCATTTCCTGAGGTTAGTGCTGTTTGGTTTGCTCTCAGCATTGTCCAGCCTCTTGAGAACACAGTTGCTACCAAAGTGCATCGTGTTGCTCTGGAATCAAACCACTGGGGTGAACGAGGCTGCTGGGCTGCTCTGTGCAGGGCAGAATCTGCCTCTCCTGAAAATGAGCCTGGCAGCCAGAGTCAGAGCCACACTGCTCTGTGGCCTGTATATTCCAAAATTCAGTTGAGATGTGGTAAATATTTGGTGTGAGCCAAATCTGAGCACTTAGACTGGGAGGATGGGGCTGCATCAGGGGAGTCCCAGCATGGGTGTGGCAGCCACTCCTCACAAGCAGTCACAAGGAAAACTACACTGCAGGATGGTTTCCTGCTGCTGGGTCAGGCCCCTAACACATCTGTGGGGAAGGAGTGTGTTAATTTTCTCTAGTAAAATTAATTAAATGCATACCTCCCTAGGACAGGGAGAGTCTTCTTTGGGGATGGGACTGAGATACAAACACAGTCAAAGCATCTCTCACACCTTGTCCCTTTGAACAGCTCTTTTTTAGGCAATTTTACTCACTCCTAATAAACCCTGCAGGAGCAGCAGCAAGGTGCAAGGGCTTCTCTTGGTCCTGGCTCAGCAGGTGAATGGCTTTTACTTCCAGCCTCCAGCACAATCCTGGCAGCCACCTTGAGTTTATGTTTTCCCTCTGTTCACCCAGACTCTTGTGCCACAAGCAGAGGAACATCTCCCAAGTAAGCTGTTTTCTGCTGCAGATTTTGGGGAGGTTGGAGAGGAGATAGGATGTTTCCAGTAGGGTGAGAGCAGGATGCTGCATTTCTGGCAGTGCTTTCTGACAAGCCCCAGACTCCCCTCTGAATGTTCACCCGAGCTCACTTTCCTCTAAAAGATAATGGGAGGAACTGTGACAAGTGGCATGTTTATTTCTTTCTAGGGCTATGGCTGCACCACATTTTAATGCAATAAACTGAATTGCAAATCACAAACAAAGTGTGCTGGGGACCCTATTACCAAGCAGTTGCTCTCTAAATGTGTCAGCTTGCAGTGGGGAAGGGACTGAACAACCAGCATGCCTGACAGGGGGTTTTGTGCCCTATGAAGTGTCTTCATCCCCCTTTGCAGGCTGGGCTCTGGTGTGTGCCTGCCCCTGCTTGGGCAGCATTTGATAACCTGTGTTCAAAGCACTCTGCAAACATCTCACCCTTGCAGCAGATCTGATCTCTGTGTTCTAAAGCAATATGTGGATGGGGGGGATGTCTCCTTGCATGTGCTAATGCTCTTGATTGGAGTTGTCTGCTGCTAAGAGCTCTTCCCTGAGTGCCCTCCTGCACCTGGATCCCTAAATTAGGCAGGAGGAAGCAGCACAGCCATACTGGAGCTGACAGCTCTGTATGCTGGGTGGTAACTCCTCCTCTTGCTCCTGGATGTGGCAGGGGCTCACAGGAGCCCCTGTGAGGTGGCTGAGCCGGGGCTGGAGCAGGGGTGGCAGTGACCTGCCCAGGAGTGGGGAGCCTGAGCTGTGTGTGGAGGAGCAACCTGGTGCTGTGGTGGGGCTAAGACCCTTGGAGGCTGGGATGAATGGAAGCAGACATTTGTCTTGTTGAGATGAAAATGCATTAACTGTGGTAAGGGATGGCCTGTCCTGTACCTGTGTCCCCTGACACTGTTGACTTCATGTCTCTGGCTGAATTCAGCAGCCAGGCAAACCACAGCTGGGAGCCCAGCCTTGATGTGGGGCTGGGTGTTCAGTGGTGTTTGTGGTTGGCTTTGAGCCCGTGAGTGCAGAGGGGTGTGCTCTGCCTCAATACCTGCTCTGGCTCAGCTCCCTGTGGGACACCTGGGGATCCAGAGTAGCCCCTCTGCACTGGTGTCACACATCACTGGAGCCAAACTTGTGTGAGGAGGGGACAGGTAGGATGCTGTGAGTGATAGAGTTGCTTTTTCTTCCCAGCCCTTCCACTTGTCAAGCTCCCTCAGGTATTTCAAGTCAGAAAAATGCTTTTTTTAAAAATATTAATCAAACATGGCCTGGCTTTGTCGTTGGAAGAGCTTATAGCTTGTGTTTTTAACTGCTTCTTTGTGAAGCTTAAAATTTGCTTTATTTAGTTTAGAAAATTAATACCCATAGCAGGATGAAGTGATTTGAAGGATTCCTTGAGACAAATGCCTCTTTTCTGCTGCTAATGAGTGTGTGATTGCTCTTTTACTGTGTGTTACCTGGCTTTGCTAGCAGTAATGCATGGTCCTGCAAAAGAAGCTTGAGAAAGGTGTAAGCAGGGTCAATTTGGTCTCCCAAATTATTACCAGATATGTTGGTTGAGTTTTGGGTTTTTTTTTAGCTTTAGCGCTCAGGCTGGGGATCTTCCCTGG